AAATGATTTATTTAATACTTTTGAAGAAATTAGAAGAAAACTTGATAAATTTGCTATGGAATGTGAATTTGCATTTAGAAAAGGGCATACTCGAACATGTGAGAATGGATCAGTTTGAAATGCAACCTGGATATGTTATCAGTCTGGTCAATAGAAATCTAAAAAAAAAATTGATCCTGATGACTAATGTAATCATAGTGTGACTGTTACAAATTGCAAATAGCATTGTAACTTCTCAATTAGTAGTATAGCATCAACTATTCAATGCTCTTTAATTGATAATGATTCAGTTCATAATTATTCTATGGACTCTGATATCAAAAACAATACACCAAGATACCAACGATTAACTGAGGAAATGATTAATAAGGTGGAATTATATCACCAATGCAATATTCAACCTATTAAAATAATTCATTTACTTGAAAATGAATACCCTGATTATTATATTAAACCACGAACTGTATATAAATTATAAGTAAACTCAAAGGCATATGTCAAAGACTTAAAAATGATGCTTCTGATTTGTTACATTATCTTTTGCAACAAAAAAAATCAGATTCTGACTATATAGTTGAACCTCTTATTAGGAACATTAATAATGAACTTATGGGCCTTTTTTGGCAATCTAATGAACAAGTACAGTTGTTATCAAGATTTGGTAATGTTTGCTTACTAGACACTACATGTAAAACAAATCGATATCAATGACTATTAGCTTTAGTAATTATAGTTGATAATCATACTTGAAGCAGATTAGTAGCCCAAGCTTACTACCTGATGAATCTATGGATTCTTTTATTTGGCTTTTTACCTACTTTCAAAAAGGAAATCCAGAATATGAACCTAGTGTTATTTTTACAGATTCTGATCCAGCAATAGCTGCTGCAATTTCAAAAATCTTTTCAGTTGCACTACATCATCTTTGTATGTTTTATCTAAATAATAATATGAAAAAAAAGGCTCAGTCAAAGCTTGGAGAGCAGCAATATAATCAATTTATGAATGATTTCTATACTGCTCGAAATGCTTTACAGGAAGTTCTTTTTGAAAATCACTTTAATAAACTAATTAATACCTATTCAAAAATGGAATCATATTTAAAAAGAATTTACTAATCAAAGCAAAGTTGGGCCTGTTGCTTCACTACACAAGTTTTTAATGCTAGTATTCAGAGTACTTAACGTGTAGAAAGTCATAATAATCTTATTAAAATAAGTATTAATCAGTTATCTTCACTTATCAATTTGTATAAAACAATTCAGGAACGTTTTAATAAGGAAAGCAAGTATAGCCGCACTCAAGAAAATTTAATTTTAATTATAATACTGAGAGAGTACAATCAATAAGTAAGACATTATTCCCAGAAATTGTTACTCTATGTGAAAAATATCTTACACCACATGTACTAGCTGAAATTAAACAACAAATTGAGTAGGCACTTTGGTACTAATGTTATCAGTTTAATATATTACAAGAACATTGTGTTGATGAATCTGATTATACCAATATGTATATTGAAGATAATTATGATTCATAACAAATACATTTAAATGTACTCTTAAATAGTGTTTCACGTGATAATATCCAAGAAATTTGGCACATTGTTAGACTTGTAGGATTAGCACATGTTCATTATATAATTTTATTTAAGGATTGTTCATATTTGTGTACTTGTACTCTACTTGTTAGTTATAGAATAGTATGTAGACACTATTTTGCTATTCTATTAGAGTTACGTGTAGCTATATTTCATATTTCATTTATAATGCAGCGATGGTATAAAAAGTTATATTTTGATGAATCAGATAATAGTATTAAAAACATTCTAGCAATTCAACCAAATTATAACAATATAACTGATAGACATGTTTTATCAAATAAATTAGATCAATCTCTTACTTTTAATTAGTTTGAACAGCTTAATCAATTTAGAAAAATTTCAGAAGTTAAAATATCAACTAAAAAGTTCCTTCAGGATTGTATACATTATGGCAAGAGTTATGGACTATTACAAACTGCTTTAAAATTAGCAATAGATACTGGAACTAATGAGGAATTAAATCAGTGGTATTATCAGTTTATTCAACAAAAAAAAGAGTTGCAGAAAGCAAATTCTAAAGTGAGTGAAGATTATAATAGCCAAGAAAATGCTGTTCAAGTTACTAATCTAAAAGTTATATCAACTAAGGGTCACCCAAGTAAAAGACAGAAAAGTGCCTTAGAATCAAGAGCCAAATAACCATTAAGTATAATTAATGAAAATTCAAATCACGAAGAAAACTCCAAACATGCATATACCTGTTCAAATTGTCATACTAAGGGGCATAACATTCGTTCTTGTAATTTGCTAAAACTAGACAAGTAAGGATAGTTGTAAGGTAAGTATTAATTTAAAGTTTTTGTTAAGGTTAGAGTTAGGGTTAGAGCAAGGCTATTTAAATT